CTGCCCGCTGCTCCCCTCAGCAGGCTACTTCATAGGTCTGCCTGTTCTGCTCCCCACTCTGTCTCTGGTGGGTCCTCTCATTGCACCTCTGGCCTGTACCCCAGTTCTGTTTGCATAAAAAAAATGAAGAGGACCAGCCACATGACCACTCTGGGCTTTTAGGTCCCCACCATATTTGCTGATCCCACACTCACTTAACAAGGTATTTTTGAGCTCTGACTGCGTAGCATGACTGGTCCGGGACCAGGATGCAGGGAAGAGCCGACAGGGGACTGGAAGGGGCAGTGGGTCGGGATGGGAGGGATAGCGTAAGCAGGAAGTGCTGTGAGTCCTCAGAACTAGTTAAGAGGTGCCGTAAGACAAGTGGGGCTGCAGCAGGAGCCCAGAGCCAGACCTGGTACCCCAGGGAGAAGGCCCTGCAGACAGCCCAGAGCAGAGGACCTGGCAGCCCCAGGGGAGTTGAGAGAGGTGGGTGCTATCCCCGGAGAGCCAGAGGTCACACTGGGGAGGGACAGGCTGGGTTTATTTTATTTTTAGTCTCTGACTGGTTTATGGAATGAAAATGAGACGGGGAGGGGAGAGGAAAATGAGGCATCTCAGCCACAGCCCAGGTGAGAGTCAATTGGTGGCTGCACCCCAGTCACAGGGGCAGGTTTGGACACCCTGAAGACAGGGCTTCCTGGTGGACTGGAGGGGGGTGGGGGTGAGAATGACAAGAATCAAGGGAAATGTGACTTTAACCTGGTGCTGCTTCTTATCCTAAGAGAGAAAAGGCCAGAGAGGAAGGAGCTGGGGGAGATGTGGGCAAAGAGGCGAAAGGAGGAAAAATAGAGCTGTTCTGTCTGTTCAGAGTGACGCGGAACCAGCAGGGAAGAAAGGACACTCAGCCTGGGGGAGGGCAAGTCCCATCAGGCACCCTGGGTGGGGGAGAACCATCAAGATAAGACCTGAGCACAGCCCTTCCTGGTCCCCCAATAACAGCATCTTGGGGAGCAGGGCACGGCCAACCTGGACAGGAGAGAGTAAAGCCAAGAAGGAGGAACTGGTGACCACCAGCAATCTTCCGAGAAGTTTCACTAAAAGCAAATAAAATGGACACAGTAGCCAGAGAAGGAAAAAGGACTGCTTTTCAATTGACGTATCATATACCGGCAAGAAATACACAGCTGTTAAGTGGCATTTTGAAGAAATGGTGAAGGAAGAGAGTGGAGGAGAAGGGAGATTTGAAAAGAAAGTGTGAAGCATTCCTGCTGGGGGTGAAGGGGCTGGGTTCAGCTCTGGCAGCCACACCAGGAAGCAGCAGAGAGGCCAAGGCTGAGAAATGAGGGCCCTGGACCCCAGAACTCGGAGACCTCTGCAGGGGATGAACAGAAAGGGAAGCAGCTCTCTGCCCAGGGAAGACGAGGACGGCCCCAGCAAGGAGCTGCCTATGGAAGGGGATGTTCTAGACCCCGCAGTTCTGAGCAATGGGGCAGCTGATGAAAACGTCAACTCGCCCTGCTGTGGTGGGGTTTCCTTTGTAGAGGAAGGCCAGTGAAGCCCGTGGCCTTGACACAGACAGAAGCTTCACCGCCACCTCACCCACCCGTGAGATCTGTTTATTGGCAGATCACTCATTCATTCATCCATCCATCCATCCATTCATCCATTCACTGTGTACAGACTGATGGTCCTGGATGGGCCATGCATGCTTTGAAGTCCCAACTCTCCTCAGCTTCTCTCATGAAGATTTAAAAATGTCAGCTTAGCTGGCTCTCCTCTGAAGTCCCTTTTCCAGCCCCTTCCTTCTCTAAAAATAGCCCCTGCCTCAAGTCCACATTGGGGAGCAGCGCTTTCCTCCAAAGCTGAGGGTCTATATCCTGAGGAAAGTGACCCACCAAGCTCCTCTCCTCACCACACCCACAGCCAGGTGGGGCTGGGCCTCCAGGATTCCTGGGTCCTGAGCAACCCCGTTCCCACACGCTCCTCTCAGCCCTCAGGGAGGCCAATTATTTGTTTATCCTCCGGTGGGGCCCTATATGGAGTGTGATCTGTCAGAGCCTGGTCTCCTGGGAGATGACTCACTCCCCAGGTAGGTCCCAGCCCTGAGGGGTCTCCAGGGCTGGCGCTTGAAGGTGGGGCCCAGGTGTCCCTGACTGTCCCCCAGCTCCAAACCAAAACCCCACAGCTCACCCCAGGTGACGTGGTCACCCCCCCACACCCCCCAGGTGCTGCCCAGAGATCATGTGGCTGCCTTCAACCCCTGGAGCCTCAACAAAATGTGAATCTCATCCACCACCACTGCACCACGGAGGAGAAAATGTCATCTCCAACCTGCAAAGCACTTGGCCTCTGAGGATGAAGAACTGGATAGAACTGAAGGGGAAGGAGGGACAAAGACCCTAGGAGGGACCTGTTAGAACCCCAATAATAAATAAATGATAACTAAGTGCTCAGCCTGGTGCACTCAAGATACAGGTTCTAACAGTGCCCCTAATAAGTCAACACACAGTGGGCTCGAAGAAGAGAGGACACTGATGGCAGTGCCATTGTAACACCTGGCACTGTGCTAAGTGGTTTAGAATAACCACTGACCTTGACCTCACAGCCACCCAGCGTGATCCCCTATTGCAGGTGAGGAAACTGAGGCTCACGGGGGTTAACTTTACCAGAATAGCACAGCTAATAAGGAGCCAAGATTCGAACCGAAGTCAGCCTTGCAAAAGCCTGTGACTTCACCATAGTCCCGAGGCTGGGAAAAGCATCCTGGGAGGGCTGCTCCTACATCAGAGTGAGGGCCACTAACCACTGGATGTCCAGACAAAGGAGCAGGGATCTGGTGGGCCTCTGGGGTGCTCATGTTGTTGCCTGGGAGAGCAGAGGTTTTGGGGGAATTCGATGCCTTGGCCCTTTGGAACTTCTGAGCCAGACCCTGGCTCTCTCACCCTCCAGGAGTCCCAACAATTTACCCTGAGTGGCTGCCTCGCTCTTAACCTCCACTTCCTGGCCTTGGGGGTGGGGGGAGGGGGCAGTCTACCCTCCAGCCCCTAAGGAGGTCTGCTATCCTCCCCACTCCTGACTGCAGGAACTCCATTACTTAGCACTGGGTTCCTCTTTCCTCAAAATAATTCTAGAAACATTCAGCCTTTGCTCGCTGAAGAGCTTGCTTTAATCTCTCCTATGGGGCTGCTCTTCGGTGGGCTAATCATCTATTCTGAGCAGGTAACAGCAGGGGGTAAGTGCATTGTTGTTTAAATGTTATAGTACAACCTTCCTTCCCAAATTGAATTGCAAATATAAAGCTATCATAGGGCAGTCTGGGCAAGGCTGAGCTGCCTGGTTCAAGTAGGGGAAGGATGTGAATGAAGCATCCGGGTCCAAGGAGCAGGGCTTGCAGATTGGAGAGCAGAGACAAGGGGACCCAGGCCTGGCACAGGGTGGGGAGGGGCGTGCTCTGACTGCGACTTGTCTGCCCGCCAGTCTTCAGCCCCTGAGCAGGGTCCACTTGCACGCGCCGGGGGTCGAGTGGGTGAGGTCCCTCCCAACACTGACGGTCCAAGGAAAGATGCCAGGGTTGCACTGAGGGCAGAGGAGGAGCCAGGACAGGATGCAAAGACCAGCAGGTTAATGATTAACCACTTGCTCCCTCCTGGCACTCCCCAATCCACCCCTCACCCCAAACACAGGCCCAGCCCAGCTCCTCCTCACCAGGCTAGCCCAGGGAGGAAAGGACAAGGCCACGTTCAGGGCACCCAGCCAGGTCACCACTCCTACACTCCAGGACCGGAGCAATGAAATTTCTACAGGCTGTGGGCTGGCCGCAGCTCCGCACCTGGGCCCTGGGGGGCCACCCTGCTCACACCCTCAGCACAGTCCTCCGTAGCCAGGGAGGCTGGGCCGAGGGTGACTCAGCCTGCCAGCCACAGAGGCTGCTTGTTAGCGGGACCGGAGTGAGCGCTGCTGGCAGCAGCTTGTCTCCAACTGGAGTCCGGCAGGGGGGCAAGATAGGGCTCAGGGGACAGGACTGGCTCCCCAGGGCTTCCCTGCACCTACTTGGGACAGCCCATGGGATCTTGGTTCCACCCTTGCTGCCACATGGTCCCATGTCCATCTGTGTACACAGGCTAAGGCCAGACCTCCTATTTGGAAAGTTCTAGGGCCCCAATTACCCACCGGGGGTACAACACACACACACACAGCCTCTCCAGACACACAAACACAAAATCACATATGCCTGTGAGTTCCTGGGGAGGCAGTGTCTGTCTTGTTATTTCACCCACTGCACGGCACTGAGCCTTCAATAAATGTGCAGACCGAACATGCTTGCACTCTCAAGGCTCCAGCAAGGCAGCATGAGAACCCTCCGCCCACACAGGCTCTCCTCACTCCACAGGCCATAAGCACCCTCACCCCACTCACCAGCCCCCCCCCACACACACATGCCCAGGCACCTAGAAGTCCACAAATGTCCACACGGAGAAGCCCAGTCACTTCCCGCATTGACCCGATGCACAGGGACATACGCGCAGAGTCTGAGAACTTGACCCCCACCTGCCCCCCCCAGCACAGATCTTCCCTGGGTGTGGCCAAGCTCTAGGGCTCCGGTCTGCTTTTCCAGGGAGTCCCTCCACTCCTGAGGCTGGCCTTTCCCCCTCTGTCGACCCCATAGCCACCACACACGGGATGACCAGGGAAGTGTGCCTCAGCAGTATGACCCTGGGGGAGGTGGCTCCCCAGCTCTAGCCCAGTTGCTGCTGGGGGAGGCTGAGACCCTGGAGAGCTCTGCAGCCCTTCGGAGGGAGGAGGAGGTGATTTCAGACCACTGGAGGATTCTGGAAAGGCACCTGGATGGAAGCCTGAGAGCATAAGGGATGACACCTGCAGAAACAGCCCAGGTCTTCAGCCTCAAAACCTAAAGCCCATCAGAAGGGGCCAAGCAGCAATTTCTACCTGGTTAGAGCCTTGGAATAAAAGGAGCAGGCACCCAGCTCCTTGCTCTTACATGGGCTCAGTTCCCTTAGTGTGTAGGTGGGGTGGGGGGGTGTGTGGTGGGCAGTGGGGCTGCAGAAGGTGAAGATGCTCTTGTGATGCTTTTGGGGTGGCGCTGCCTCCTGACAACCCCCACCCCAGGCTGCTCCGACAGAATGCCCAGAGGCAGGGCTACTGCACTCAGTACCCTGACCTTGGGGAGACAGGCTCACACTTCTAATGACTGAAGCAAGCACACAGGGCCACTGCAACTGTCTGAGGTCACCAGACACACCCCAAAATGCTATTCTCGGGATTTGTGCCTCATTCATGAAAAGGGGGTCTGTCCCCTCTGGCCCTACTCACTAATTGGGGTTTGGCTGACCCCCAAGAAGGAACTACACTACTCCTGGTATTCTTCCTCAGCAAGAAGGGGTCCTCCCCATGGTGCACCCTGCAGTTACCATCCCACCGGAGACAGAGAGCAGCCAGGGAAACTTCCTTCAGGAAGTGAGATTTGGCAGAATCACTGGAACACCTCCCCAAAACCCCCAAAGTCTTCCCTTCCCCTCTCACGGGGGTACCCAAGGGATTGCCCCAGGCTGGGGGCCAGGCCTCCCCAAGCCCCCTGTGTGGCCCCAGTCCCCAGCAGGGAGGGAAGGAAGTGGTGGAAGAGTGCGAACACCCTTCTGTCAGGGGAGGGTACCCCAGTTTGGCCCCCGTTCTGTCCCAGAGGAGCAGTTATGCGGGGAACCTGAGTCAGTGCCAGGCTCCCAGGGCTGGAAGATGCCCCAGGAGAGGCGATTCGCTCGTGCTCCTGGGACCCCAGCTCCCGCCCGGCCGGAGGCGGCGCTCACCTGGACAGCGAGGACCAGTTTGTCCTCCTGATAGACATGCCGCCGGAGCCCGCGCTGCTGCCGCCGCCGCCGCCGCTGCTGCTGCGTGCGTGGCGCTCTGCCTGGACGGCCGCCGCCTCACCTGCGCGCCCCTCCCCCGCCGGCCCGGCCCGGCCCAGGTAGGATCACATGGCCACTTAGCTCACCCGGCTCCAGCCCTGCGCCGCGGCGGCTCTCGGATTTGCCGGCCGGGAGCGGCCTCGGAGTGTGGGCGTCGCAGACAAAGCTGCATTGATCTCCGCCCGGGCCGGCCGGACCGCGGGGCCGCCAGCCCAGGTAGACGGTCGGACTGGCTGCCGAGGGACCGAAGGACGCGAGGGCCAGCGCGGGGCTGGTCGGCGGCCCCGGGCGAGGGCGGGAGACATCCTGCTCAGAACCAGTCAAACCAGCTGGGCGCTGGGCCGCCGTGGCCCTGGGTGTCGGAGAGGGGCGGGGACCCACAGATCGGGGTCAGACTGAGGAGCTCACTGCCTGCTGGTAAACCGACTTAGCTCCAAGAAACCCAAGAGCAGGAAACTCAGCAGAAATGTTAGAGCAGTACCGTAATTTCTGGTGGAGAGCGCCCTGTGCCTCCTGAGGCCCTTCCTGGAAACCCCTCCTGGAACCCATCTGGATGCAATCCCAGGACCCAGAAGGTGCATTGCTTTCCTGGCGCTGCATTCAAAGCACACCCCCTGTGAAGCCAGCCGCCTGGGGTAAATCCTTCAGACTCAATTGGGCAGCATTGAGGGCACACAGCTCTGAATATGCAGATATCAAAGGCACTGTCCTTGCTGACAGATACAGGACTTTGGCTGGAGGGGCAGAGGAAGCTCAGCTTCTCCCTGGAGGGAAACAGTGAGCCCAGGTAACTAGTCCAGAACTAGGGAGCAACTTGAGACCATGCAGACACCACCAGCCCACCTGGCCCCTCTAAGTGCCAGGTGCTTCCTATCCTTCCTAGCCTCAGAGGGAGGGTCTGTTGCTGAGCAAGGAGAATTGCATCTTCCCTGAGGGGTCAGAACTTCAAGTTCAGCAGCAGTGGTTCCTGCTCTTAAGAAAAATGAGGTGCTGCACCAAGACGCCCCGATGGAAAAGAGCTCAGAGCACCAGGCTGCTGCTGGGCACGCTCCCCAGCCTGGCAGCCCTTCGGCTGGGATCCACACCCCGTGTCTCTCCAGCGCCCTCCAGCTCTGAGATCACAAGTAAAGGGCAGACCCTCTGCAGAGAGGAGCCCCCCACAGCCAGCCTGCTCATGCACCTCTTTCCCCACAGATGCCTCCCCTTGGGGTGCTTATCTCCTGGATGTAGGAGGCCAAAGAATGTATGCTGGACAGAAGCTTAGAGACCATGCACTCAGATTCTGCCATCAATGAGCCTTTTGACTTGGGGCAAAGCATATCAACACCCCTCTGTGTGTGCTTGAAACCATAATAATACCTTGCACTACTTCCTTCCAAGTGTGGGGGTCAAGTGCGTAGATTTAGGCACTGGGGAGCAACGTGAGAGTGGACAGGATACAGAATTCTAAGCAGAGGCCATGGCAGGGACCTGGGCCATTGGTCCTTCCAAGGAAAAAGAAAGAAAGTAACCTACATCCCTGGGTATCCCTCCCTGGGCCCCTGAACTTCAGGGTCTCTGCTGTCTCCCTGGAGACCAAAGGAGGGCTCTTCCGGTGGTTTGCCGGTGGTGGCATCTCAATTTAGGAAAATAAGTGCTGCTGGGCATTCAAAGCCCTGTACACTTGCTGCAGCCAGGGAACGCCTAAAAGTCCAAAACCCAGAGTGCTGTGGTTGGACATAAAACCTAAGGCAGGGAAGTCTGCCATGCCAAGGATGCCAGAAGTCAGGAGGGTACGTCATGGACATGCCATCTCCCCTTCCCTTGAGGAGGGCCATGTCTTCACAGGACACTTCTTCCATTCCAGGCGCTGGTTCCCGACTCTGGTGGTAGTCCCCTGGGCTGCTGTAACAACGCGCACAATCCGGTGACTTAAGGCAGCAGACACTGATCTGTTCACTGTCTGGAGGCCAGAAGTCTGAGATCAAGCTGTCTACAGAGATGTGCCACCCCCCAGGGCTTCAGGGCAAACCCCTCCATAGCTGTCATGCTGTCCGTGTTTATGGGGTTCCTCCCTGGCAGTTGCTCCAATTTCTGCCTTTGGTGTCACGCGGAGCTCTCCTTGGTCTCTATCCAAATTCCCCTCCTTATAAAAACTTGCGTGGTGAGGTAGGGCCCAGCGGGGACCACCCTCCTCCAGGACTATCTGGTAGGACCTCACTTTAACTTGACTGCATCTGTCAGGTCCAATTTCCAAATAAGGTCTCATTCACAGGTACCGGGAGTTAGGAACTAGGTATATCGTTGGAGGAAAATATCACTTATGAAAATCAGCTTTGACACCTAGTGAGGCAAACATGACAAAGAACTTGGTTCCTAACCAAAAGATGTCCCGCTCTAAGGGGAGACCCGCTCATGTGTGTGCACCCCCACATCTTCTCTTCCATGTAAACACACACCTGTGCATGCACCAAGGCCCATGCAAGTAGACTGTGCTGCAGGTCAACTTTGTGTCACTAGGAGGGATGAACTATAGTGGAGATACTGGGGAGTCTTTGAGAAAAAAGAACACCTGGGTTGCATCTTGCAGGTAAATTGGAAAAAAACTGCTGAGGACATCAGCTGTAGGGGACAGAATTAACCAAGTATGAGGCCTAAGAGGTGGGTGTTTTTGGAGTGGGGAGCCAGCTGTTGTCCCTGAAGCACAGTGTGGTCTCCCAGGGTGACGGAGGACATAGGGGCAGATAGATAGTGAGGGATTTATAGGTGACACTTAGGATCTGGCCTTCGTCTGACCTCTAAAATATGTAGTTAGGCCCTCCCTAATGGCACGTGGGTTAAAGCACAGCACTAAGAAGCTAAAGCCACTGCAGCACTGGTTCGATCCCCATCCCAGAGGTGACCCATGTGGCGCACAGACCTCTCCTGGCCCTCCCGCTGCTCCCCTCAGCAGTGTACTTCGTCAGTCGGCCAGTTCTGCTCCCCACTCTATCTCTGGTGAGTCCTCTCCAGCACCTCTGGCCTGCACCCTAGTTCTGTATGCATAAATAAATAATTTTTTTTAAAATGTGGAGTTAAAGAAAATGGAAGGGCTAATGGCTGTTGAGTGGAAAGGCCCATAAGACTTGGAAAGACTTGGCAAAAGGTCAGACCAGAACAGGGATAACACTTGGGGAGGGGGGGAGACTCATTCTTTCTACAGCCCACAAAAGAGATGAAGGGTGCTTGAGCAAGGGCAGCCAGGTTTGGTGGGGCGGGGGCAGAAGAAGAAGTGTTGATAGTGTTCAGCTTTGGAAGGTGGAATTTTCATGACTGGTGATGGAAGAGAATCAAGGTGGCTCCCTAGCTTGAACAGCTAGTTCAACTAGCTGAACACAGGTGCCATGGAGGGGATGGGGATCCCAGAGGTTCCATGGAGGAGATGGGGGTCCCAGAGGTGTTTACTGAGGAAGGTGACTTCGGACCCCAAGGGTTTCTCAGGCTCGGTGTCCCAGGCATTTGGGGCCTGATAATTCCATATTGTGGGAGACTGTGTGTGGTAAGGTGGTAAGCAGAATTCCTGACCTCAACTCATAGAATGGGAGGGCCCTGAAGGAAGCCGGGGGTGCTGTCCATAGATGACCACATGTTGGGGTGTGGGACCTCAGGAGCCAGATTTGCCCGGTGTTTCCCCCCAGCACTGAGTGCAAACTGCAGACCTAGCAAGAGGAGGTTGTGATTCCTGGGATGAGGGTGGTATTGTCATACCCACGTCTTAACTCCCACATGTCTTGAGAACAGAGTGCCTTACCCAGCCAGCACCCCCCGTGACACCATGCTGGGCATGGTAGCATCTCAATAGAGATTGGCAGAATGGTACTAACTTGCTTCGGGATGACAAATAGGAAAGCCCATAAGAGCCCAAGAAGCTCTGCTAAGTGCCACAAAGTCTGGGAGAGGCTGAGGTTGGGGTTTCTTGGCATCCAGGACCTGGGCCCCCAGGATCACCACTGCGGAGCATGGGCAGTCACGGTGGCCAGTAAGAATGTGTAACGTGCAGCCTCAGAGTGCAGAAGTCATTGGAGATGACCCAGAGCTTATACTCTCTGGGAGAAAAAATTGTGAATGCAAGCAGAATTTGCTCAATATTCAAAGCATTTATAGTAGCAAAACCTGGAAACCCCCAAAGGCCGATGGGCAGGAAAAGAGATGAATAAATGATGCTTTCAATGTGTCATCATTTCACAGTCCTGAAAACAAACTCATTAGAGGCATTAGCAAGGGCCAGGAGGGGCCTGGGAGGAGCAGTGTGATGAGCTTTACAACCTTAACCTCAAAGTGGAAAATGCAGGAAGTTTGCATCCAGAGAGCCTAGAGAAAAATAAACACAAAATAAGGCTCTTGCCTGTGTGGGGATGAAGGAGTTAGGAACGGAGCAGGCCTGCATGGGCTTCCAAAGTGTGACACCCTAGCTGACCTCAGTGGGATTTCCAAGGTCAGGGTCAGGGGTTTTCAAGACTTCCCAGTCAACCACAGGGAAAGGGAGCATCTCCTTCCTCCCTCCCCATCACAGAAGTCGGGTTCTGGAACCCCCGCCTCGACCCCTGTGTCAGGTTCATAGGGCAGCTCCTCCTTCAAAAAGACCAGAGTGGGGACCCAGCCCCAGGCCAGCGGATTGGAAGTCACACCCTGACCTGTCAGTCCCATTCCTGCCCATACACCTGCCGGGGGACTGCCCAGTCTCTATGGGGCAAGGTAGGAGAGGAGTGAATGAGCTGCTAAGGCCCACCCTAGGGAACCCAGCCTAGGGAACCCAGCGCAGTGGGGTTTGGAGTCTTTACAGGTGATGGCTTTGAATATGGACATGAATACCTAAATGGCCTTGACACTGTGTTAGTTTATGAAGAACATTAAAAAACAATGGCCACCTACTCCTCTCCCAACCTCTAAAGAAAGGATTTTTTACGGCTAAAATAATCAAATGAAGGACTCCCAGAACACAGAGCCCTTGCATGGGGTACTTTAACTTATGGGCATTTCACCCACCTGCCCTGGTCTCCCAGGGCACCTGGGCAGGTGGGTGAAATGCCTGTGGAGCGTTGGAAACTTGGGACACGAAGAGCCAATCAGGGGAACTGCATCTGGGGAGCACAGGTGTATGGAGGCACCTTGGTGTCCCTCACACTCACAGCAACCCCCAAATACAGGCCTAGCCTCCCTCTGGCTTGCCACGTGCAGGCACACACGCTCCTGCACAAACATCTGCACACAGACACTTCAGCCGGGAGCCCCTCCGCAGAGCTTCTGCCCTGGCACCCAGGTGAGGCCTGCTCCTCTCCTGAACCTGGAGCAAAGGACCAGGTCACCCAACTTGTGCCAGCCAGGGACAAGGCCAGTGGTTGGCACCGGGACCAGACAGGGTACTGAGCCAGGCCCAGAGATAAGCCACCTTCTCAAGTCCCCGGCCTCTGCCTGTGGCCTGGGAGAGCAAAGAGCTCGGCCCACACCCAGCTCTCTTAGTAAACCAGGCCAGTTAGGCTGTAACCTTGAACAAGTCACATTTCCTCTCAGCTTCCAGGTATTGACTCCTTACTCAGGCCAGTGTGGGGTTATAGGGGCTCTCGCTGCTCAGCCCCAGGGGGCCCCGAAGGTGCCTGCATGGGGAGAGAGAGAATAACCTTGCCCCGCACCGCCAGCAAAGGGCCCGTAGGCTGCAGGGTGGGAGATTTTGAGGAGAACCCCAGTGGGGTCAGGAGGAGGCTGCCAGTGTGCTGGTCCCAGCAACCTGTCCCAGCTTGGTCACCCACCTGGAACAAAACCACCCCCTGGCTGCCCAGCCCAGAGCCCCGCGGGGAGGCTGACTCACTTTGTAGGGGGCCATTAGGGCTAATGTTTAACTGGGCTCCTCCTGCAGCACAGCACTTTACCCCCAACAGCTGCAGCCCTGGGCTGCCCAGCCACGAGGTGCTGCCCCTTGGGTGCCGGACCACTGGGCTTGGGGCGGGGAGACGTCCATGGGGAGAAAGACAGCCAGGGCCTCCAAGGGCTCTGGGACAGTCAGTGTGCCGCAGAGGGGCGTTCTGCCAGCCGAGGAGGGGGGAGCCCCAGCCCCTCTCAACGCAGAGGGGGTACTCACACAACTGGGGTTTGCAGCTCACTTGCATGATGGGGAACTCCCCAGACCCGAGGGCTGATTGGACCCTGGCGAGGCAAGTCTGATCCCAGAAAAGGGCACCCCCGAAATACAGGTTGCCCTGGATTCCAACTGCAGCTCCGCAGCTATCAACCACCTGTAACTTCAGAGGAGTTAGTGAAAGTCCCAGGGATTCCACCTCCTCATCTGTCAACCTGAGATAACAGCATCTACTTTTGAGGTTTTGCGAGAACGTAATGATACGATTCTGACAAAGCATCCGATGTTATTATGATTACAATAGTGACAGAGTCTGGCCTCTGACAGGCTGCGGGTTCTATCTTGGGCCTCCTTTGCTGGCTGTGAGACCGAGGGGCGTCCCTAACCTCTTTGGCCTCACCTTTCCATCTGTGGAATGGGAACAGGGTCGTCCCTTCCCCACAGGTTTGTCAGGATTAAACGAGTGGATTAAGGTGCGTGGACAGCGCAGGCATGGAGTGTGTGCGCTGGGTGGCCATCTCCTCCCAGAGAGGGGACTGGAATGAAATCGGGGTTCTCAGGTCCCCAGGGCCCAGCCCCAGCCCCATTCATGGCTACACACACACACCCATCCCCACCCCACCCCTCCCCGCCCAGACGACCCTGTAACTCCCACAGTCTGCCCTCCCTGATGGCTCTACACTGCAGCCTCACAGGAAGCAGCTCAGGCCTGGCCCTGCCCAGGAGGCCTTTGGAGGGGCTTCCTGAGGGACCTTGCCGGTCTCCCCTCCCCCAGCTCTCTGCACTCAAGGTTGTGTTCTGAGTAAGCTCCGGAAAGGTGTCCCGCTTTTATGGAGCAGGGCGGAGACCCTAACCATCTGCCAGGGCTGCAAGTTAACAGTCAACTAGCAGGCAATCAAGATTTGGCTTCGGAACTTGAGGCAGACACTATCAAAGGGCCCAGAAGAGGCACAGTCAGAGGACCTGGACCCAAGCCAGCTGGGAGGAGCCTGGGAGCCAGGGAAGGGTGGGTTTCTGAGGCTGCCTGAGCAGGGAGCCCAACCCAGTCCTCTATGGCACAAACTGGCTCTGTCGGTTCTCCAGCTTTGAGGAAGAGGTTGGGGGTGACTGGGTGTGTCTTGCTGAGGGTTTGCTGGGCGATAGGAGTTGCGCTTTTGCACCTTTCTGTCCGCTGGACTGTTTGCAGCAAGCAGCCTGGACAGAGATGCCTCCCTACTGCATCCCAGAAGCCCTCCCGCGAGGGGCTGGCAGGCAGGACCCATGACCCAGGGAGTAGCCAACTCTGCACTTTGCACCCACCTGCTGGCATTTATGGCAGAGGGTGCAGAGGGCAGAGTGGGGGCTGACTGCGCTGGTGGAAGGGGCTTCTCACGCAGCTTAGACTCTGCTCAGTCCTGGGATAACCAGAGGTCCAGGTCCGGGGCCAGCCACCTCCTTTGTAGATAAGCTGGGGAATCCCCACAACACCCCTGAAAAGACAGCCTGGCCCACAGCTTTGACCTCTGATCCACAGTAGTCACTCTCCTCTGGGGTCTCAGGGAGGCGTGAGAGGCTGCTCCCCACCTCACCTTTCTACCCTGCAAGTTCATGCCCCTCGCCAGGATTTGAGCCCAGGTGGCGGTGGGATGGAGAAAGGGCCTGACATGAAAGAAGGACAACTGGCAGCCCAAACCCAACGAAAGAATCAGCCTTGGGGTGCATGACCAGCCCAGACTGTAAAGGGAAAATAAATGGGAGGATCATGCAGGGGGAGAGGAGGACCTGAAGCACTGGGGAACAGGAGAGCGAAGGAGCCCCCTGGTGGCCAGACTTAGATCTTCAAGGAGTCCTTCCTGGCTGGGCCTGGGTTCTGGGCCACCTGCCCTGTTCCTGCAGGACCCCATGGAGGGTTGAAAGTAGCCTGACCGCTTAACCCTGAACAGCCTGGCACATCCAGGGGGAACAGAGGGAGGAGACCCAGGTTTGCAGCAGGACAGTGTGACGTCAGGCAGGCCAGGGGCTCTGAATGAAGAGGCCCATCTTGATGACAGGTTGGGGCTGTTTCAGTGGTCAGGGCTTGGGGAGCCTGGGGTCTGGGTGGTGTGTGTGTGCTGTGTGATGCTACCAACCTTAGCAGGAGGGGCCCAGGGGGAACTTCTTGGTCGGTTGCCAGTTCCTTAGCCCTCCATTCCAGCCACAAGCTCCTGCTGGGAGCCCAGAATGACCCCAGCTTTCCCTCTGAGCACCCAAGGCAGTGACACAGACGAGCAGAGCAGCACTCTAGGTTTTTAATGGGGAGGCTGTGACACCGTGCACCCACACACAGACAGCGGGGAGCAGGCGCACGAGGCTGGGGTGGGTGCTCTCACGTCCTGGTCCTCAGCGTGGCCGCTCAGGGAGGCCCAGGGAGCCTCCCGCTTGGGTGAGGTCTTCAGTAAGGGTCACGCTGGCCGTTCTCTCTCTTGCATGTCTGTTTATCCCAATTCCAAAGTAATTCAGGTTGGAGGGGAAAGGTAAGGCAGGCTGGGATGCAGACAGATGGGGCCTGATAGTGGAGCATGAAGCAAGAGCCCAGACACAGTGAGGCAAGCAGGCTGCGGGACAAAGCAGCACAGCATGTGTTCCTTGTCCTGTGTGGGGGTAGGGCTCCCTCAGTTACCTGCGGCATGGTCTCAGCTTCTCACCCCTCCCCTCCCACCACCATCCCCAGCGGCTCCTGGAGCCTCACGTTCTAGGCTCAGGGCTCCAAGTTCCCCCAGGCAACCCTCCGGATGCCCTCCACACCGGGGGTCCTCCAGGACTGGCCAACTTCCCCCTCTGGGCTTTTTGCATCATCTGCCCTCTAACACACGCTCCTTAACCACCTTTTGAATGTCACTTCCTCAAGAAAGCCCTCCCTGACTGTCTCCAGCAGACCCTGGCCTTCATGCTCCCTGCAGCTCCAAAGTGGCTAATTTTGCCACTCTGTCCATCAGTTTCCTCACGAAATGGGTGGTCTTTGCAAGGATCACCTAATCTGGTGGCTCTCCAGTTCTTTCATAGAATAAAGAGCCGGCTGTCCCAAAGTTTCCCCTTCAGTGAGGCCAGCTGAGGCCAGATTATTCGCTGCCAGGTGGTACCTGCATGGCTGGTGTCAGGACCACAGTGGAGAGCTTTAATTCATATACCCTCATTTTATAGATGAGGGGAGCAAATCATGCCCAAGCTCTTACGGTGCTAGAGGTAGTCCTGAGCTCACCATCCCCTGCACCACGCCAGGCCCAACCCCCCAGCCCTTGTCCCGGTTCTCAGATATCCTTAGGCTCCCAGTTATCTTTAGACTTTGAGGGGCTGTAGGAGAGAAGAGCTGGTCTCCAGTTACCTCTACTGTGAGGTCGGAGACTTGGCAGCATCAAACATCTTCTTCCGGCCTTCCATCCCGGACATGGCTTCCACGTTCTTCCTCCAGTCGCCCACCTCCACGGGCCGCTCCTGTGGGCAGAACACACACACACACACACACACGTCAGCAACTCCAGGCCAAGAGGATGGCCAGGCCCCTCCAAGCAGGAGAGAAAGAGGGTGATGGGGAATCAGCCTCTTCAAAAGACAGGGAGAGGAGACACCCTGGCCCTGCTGGTGAGATCACAGGACACAGCCCGAGAGGGGACACCAGGCAGGCAGAGGACCCCCGGGAAGGAGGGGGCCTCAGGGTTAGGAGCGGTAGTGACTGTGCTGGAGTTACAGCCCCTTCCCACCCCGTGAACCACAGCCCAGGCGTAGCTCCTGGGCCCAACCCAGGAGGGTCAGATGCTCAGCAGCGCCAGCCCTGTCCCTTCCCGGAGGACAGCATCTTTCTGATTTGGCTCATTTTCCATTCCATCAGCAGTGGTGGCCACCTCTCCTTGGGTCAGAGATCACATCTTTCATCCATGCTCCCCACAGAGCCTATCAGCTGAATAGCATGAATGTTGTGCGTCTAGTCAGCTTGAGTAACAGCTGCCAGAAGGTGACTGAACTCTGTTCTCTAACTTCAGTGCCCTGGCGCCCTGGGGCCACAATGGCCAGCCATCTTCCCCCCACAGTGACCAAGCACAGCTGTCCCCCAGTCGCCTAGTGCCACAGTCTCCTGATGCTGTGCCCAGGGCCTCCACTGTATCCGTGGTCTACTTCCTTTGTCCTGGTTCCTTCCTCAGACTGAGTAGGCCTGAGAGGAGGGAGCAAGCAAGTCTTCAGTCTCCCCAAACAGAACGATAAGCCTTCCTCACTGGTCTCTCGGGAGGCTCTAGAATGTTCTAACAGGCTGACTGTCTGCCAGGAGACATGCTGGGTCTGTGTGAAGGCACGTGAGGGAGTTGCAGGTGGAGGCTGGACAGGGTGAGAGGTTCTGAGGGAGGGGCCCTCACCTTCTCAGTGTCTTCCTTCTTCACAGACTTCAGGTTGGCCCGAAGGTCCATAGACACCTTGTGCTTGGAGCCCAGCAGGGCCCTGAGCATGGCATCCGCTGAGACCCGGACCCTGCGCAGGGGCGGGCGCTTGAACTTCCCACGGAGATCCAGCACCTTCAGTTTCAGGTCCTTGATCTGCAGGTGAGCAGGGACAAGGACTCACTGGAGGGGTGCTGTCACAAGGATCTCAGACTTCCAGCCACACCTATACCCCGGATCCTGCAGCCTCCAGGTTGGCGTACCATCCCCACCTGTAACCCCTTTGCAAGCAGCCTCCACACATTTGTGGGTGATGGCTTTGCTCACAAAGCCCGCCAGCGCCCTAGCACAACAGCGCCATAGCTCAGTACCAGTGTGGTTTGGGAGCCCTGTTCGGAGTTTGGGCTGCTTGCTTTATTTCCTTCTCCTAACCCCCCTGCCTGTCCCAACTGTGACTTCACAGCCTCATTGAGGGCACAGCCTTGGTTCAGCAAAGCAGTTAATGTTCCAGATCCCAGACCTGGGGGGACTTTCAGAATGTGCTTGCTGGGGGTAATTTGGGGAAATAAGTGATTCCACAAATCATCCTGGTGGGGACAGGTGACATGGAGAGGATGTGGTTTCTGATGTCCGTTCCCACCCCTCATCTCTGCTTAAACAAGGCCCACGAGTCGCTCACAGCAGCGAGTCACACAGCCTCCCCCCGCCCCCCACATTCTGCCACTTCCCCCTGGAGAAAGATCTGGATGAAGCTAAGGCCCCACACCCAGGGAACACCAAGCACTAGCTTGAAGATCAGAGACCAGTGCTGTGTGGCCTGGGCTGAGTTACTCAGCCTCTCTGAACTTCAGAGCCCTCTTTTGTCAAGGGCAGGTAATCACAGCACCTCCTGCATCCACAGGTGCATAGGGAGGATCAAAGGACAGAGGACACATGAAAGCCCTTCACAGAGGATGTTATTAGCAAATGTGTGATTACTTGTGTGGGTGAATAAAGAAGGCAGCTCTGTTAGACGAAAGAGCACAGGTGGCAATATGGGAGGAAGTCAGAGTTTTTCATCTGTGTGATTATCCTCTCTGCTCCTCTCCACTGTGGGCTGGAGGATGGGACCAGGGCTTTCTGCTGAGTGGCCATCTCCCAGACCCTGCACCACCCAGGCCATCCCTACCCCACCCAAACCCTCACCCCACACACACCTACTCCGACCTTGCCCTGCCCGGGCTTGGGCTCACCTCTCTGCTGTTGTGCAGGCATTTGGCTTCGATGTCATATCTCTCCTCATCCACCACCTCCACCTTGGCGTGCAGCTCCCGGCACAGCTCCTGGCGAAGCAGGGCCAACCGGGAGGAGATGGGGGTGAGGGGTTGGGGGGCGGGTAGAGCCCCTCAGTCTCCAGCCTCCCTCCAAGTCCTTGGTCTCCGCCGCCGCCCCCAAGCCCCTTCGCAAGACCAGTGCTCTGGAGAGACGTCACGCCCCTTAGCGCTGAGGCTCAAGGGTCCCCTTTTCCATTCTGAGTGTCTTTAGTTAATTAGAAAAGTTTTCTTATGTAAAAATAATATGTAAAGAAATGGTAAAAGCCACTTGAAACAGAAAGAATGAAATGAAAATAACTAGAGATGGTACTGCCTGAAGAGAGCCCCTGGTGGCATTTCAGTAGACCTTGTCTCCTCTCTGCAGTCACCAGCGTTCAAACAATTGCCAGTGTCTAAGAACACTGCAGGTCCCCACCTGTACAAACACTGCACAGGCCATCTGTAAACACCCCAGAGCACAATGGCTATTTTTAAGCAGCTTAAAAGTGTTTCTTAAAAAAAAATGTATCGCAAACTTAAATCTGAAACATAAAACCATAAAATGTCTGGGGAAAAGAGCATGGATCAAAAAATAACTGAACTACATGATGTTTTAGACATTTGTTTGCCAAAAGATATTTTAAGTAAATAACATCATTTATCTTTTAAGGATTTGTGTATAGAATGTATATAAGAATTGTCAAAGTAATAGATCAAAGATTTGAGATACACAGGTAGGGAAAAAATAGGTACAAGAAAAGATGCTAAGCTTGATTAATCATCAAGGAATGCCAAGTGAAACCACAATGTGAACCATCTCATCTATCTGATGGCTAAATAATAAAACTGACCACATCAAGTGTTGGCGGAGATGCCTATCAAATGGAACTCTCGAATGCTCCCTGTGGTAATGTTTTAGAAAACGATTTGACAGTTTCTTAAGTTAAATGCACACTAGCCCTATGATCCCCTCCTAGAAAGCCTGTGTCCATCAAAGACATCTTTGTTTGCAACAACCCCAAACTAAGAGCCACCTAAATGTTTACAAAATGGAGAAATACTTTGCAGGGTATGTCCATACAAAAAAAAAAAAAAAGGAATGAACTATTAAAAAAGAAAATAAAGGTCCTCTCTGGTGGCGCAACAGGTTAAAGCACAGCACTATGAAGCTCTCCGCAGCCACTGCAGCACACTTGTTCAATCCCCAGCCAGGGAGGTGGCCCACATGGCTCAGCAGTCCTCTCCTGACCCACTCGCTGTTCCCCTCAGCAGTGTGCTTCATCAGTCATCCTGTACTGCTCCCCACTTTGTCTCTGGTGAATCCTCTCACCCCCACACCTCACCTCTGGCCTGTGCCCAGTTCTTATATGCATAAGTAAATAAATCTTTTTTAAAAAAGAAAATAATACATTTATTTATGTGCAATTACTGGAACTTTTTCAGTGGTTGGGACAATGGCATTAAGCTAAAAAGGGGTTATTAAGATTAAATTGCCAAACATTTGTGAACAAACTTTGTATATGTGGAATCTTTGACCTCTGTGGAGATTTGCAAAGACTGAGTCCTCAAGCTACTGAATGTTTTTTTTTTTTCAAGTGCTAAAAAATTAAACCAAGCTGTTTAAAAGAGAGAGAGAGAGAGAGGAAGAGAGAGAGAGAGAGCTGGGCCCATCTCCAGAGGCAGGCCAGGCAAATCTTGGACAAACGGAGCATTCCAAGCCCTACCACTCCCCACTTGAAGTGACAAAGCTTGGAGCCAGGGTTAAGTCAGGCTCCTGCAACTTGGCCCTGGGGTCACCCACTGGATCCCTCAAGCTCTCTAGCTCCCTCACTCCCAGTTGCCCACCCCCAAGTCCACAAGGCTCACCTGCAGGGCACGGAGGGACAGGCCTCGGGTCTGCAGCGTGGGGATGCGCTCTGCCAGGTAGCGGGCCTTCTCAGCCTCACGCTCCTCATGCTCCAGCTCCCAGCATTCTTTGGCCTTGGCCAGCATCAGGCTCTGCACCCAACAGAGCCAAGTGAGAGTGGGACAGGGGCCCTCGAGTTCCCCACGCACATCAGGGCCTGCTTGGACAGTGAACCCCAGGCAGGGTGAGCTCTGGCCTCAGCGGGCTCAGGAGGCCTATGAGTGTCCCTACATGTCATCACCCAGATGGGGCAGCCCTGTGAGCAAAACGGGTGCCATGTGGACTGGCACCGTGGCAGCAGCCAGGCCATGTGGGAACCCCACCCCAGGAACACACCCCTCTGGCGCCCTGACGGTATTTCTCCATAGTCCTCTTCTCTGACCCACTTCTCAGTTGTTTCAGCCCAGAGTCCAAAGAGAAAACTTACCAAGTTAAATGAGCACCTTTGCCCCAGGCCGATCCACCTTAGCTGCTCACTGCCTTCTCAGGAACCCCCAGGGCACCTTAGTCCCTTGGCCTCCTCATCACCCTTGGCTGCCTTGTGGGGGCCCTCCACACCCCTCTGCACCCCTCAGAGTCTGCCCTGCCTCCTCCAACTCCCACCCCAGGGCCGGTGCCCAGCGGTCACCTTCAGCATGAGTTTGCGGGATGCGGTGATCTTGGACTTTCTCTGAGGGGAGAAGCGGGAGAGATGGGTGAGGCAGAGGTTGCAGAACTGAAAATCTGGTTTCACCAGGATGTGTGCCCGTCAGGGGACAGTCATCACCCACACGCCTCACCTTGGAGTCCCTCCTTGTGGTTTAAACCCTCAGGTTCCTAGAATGGCTGCAGTCAGCCCCCCTGGCCTGGAGCGGAAGCCCTCACTTCCAATTCAAGGCCCAGCTACTGGTGCATTCTCACAAAGCGTGGGGCTCCCGTTCTCCTCTGGGCCCCCCTCCTCGTCTGTAAGCAAGGACGCTGAGACCCGCCTCACTTGGGTCAAAGTTATCACAAACGAGATCATGGGTGTGCAAACCCTCTGTAGTGGGAGGCGGAGGCAAGATGCCCGCTTAGCATTCTGGGTGGTGATGAGGGACACCCCTCGACCTGTCACATCAGAGAGCAAACTTTGAATTTCCTGAATAAAGAAACATCTTTCCAGACACGAATCTTGTCTTGGTATTAATACCGCCCTCGTCCATCTTCCTGATGCAAAGTCACTCTGCTTATTCAAAGTACCAACCACGTCTTGCCAGTTGGACATGTTCTCAGTCTCCACTCCCGGAGTGATCCCCTCCAGAGGTGGAGGTGAGGAGGCCCTTTGGCCCTAATAAGTGAGACCCTGATGCCTGAGCACACGTGTGTCTTCTCGCCTTCGCTCCATAGGATTCTTCCAGTGTGGAGGGTAGAAGTAGTTTGAGGGAGCAGTTTTCTCAAGAAAATGAATGACTGTAGTAAGCAGGACTGGTGTGTCTAAGTTGACCCCTCTGAGCAGCCTGTCTCCTTCATCATAACCCCAGTTTGGATCCAGTTTGGGTCAGATCAATGTGAGGGGGGATCCCCCTCTCACTACAGAAACACCCACCCTCAGCCCCTCACTGTGATGGCCCCGGGGCAAGTGTCTCTTGCACTGTCTCCCACCACTTGGCCCTCAACCACGGGACTCACTTTAATATGAGCCTCGACGAAACTTAGACACTCACTGGGAAGGGTATAGCTGAGTCTCACTGCATCCATGCCCCTCAGGGGTGCTGCTACTACCCAGTCTTGCCCCCTGAGCACAGCCCCCACCCATGCTGTACACGGCTGTGCTCTCAGCAGCCTGGGTAAATCTGGATCGAACAGGGTCAGGGTTATCCAAGACTTGCGGGGGTCTAAGGAGACCTCCTTCAATGTTGGAT